GGAGAGAGAGAGAGAGAGAGAGAGAGAGAGAGAGAGAGAGAGAGAGAACTTTCAAATGAAAATCAGTAAGACGTCATGGCAAACAGTTTCAACCCTTCTCAGAGTCAGTAATGGATGTATGGTCAACCAGGAGCAAACCATGTTCTAATGTCGTTCGCTGCATGCTTGTAACGTTTCAGGCAACCATGACAAAACCTATTTTCAGCAGCCTCTCGTGCTAGCAAAATCGCCAGAAGGGGGAGGCACTAAAGCATGAAAGCTTTTAAATACAATTCCTGCATGGATGGATGGATGGATGAATAGATAGATTTTCTGGGGGCTCTCGTGGCTTAGAGGTTAAAGTGTTGGCCTCTCATTCAAAGGTCGAGGGTTCAAATTCCGGTAGCGACCGAAAAATGTCCTTCTGTAAAATTGTCTCCTTTCACCTGCTTTCCTGCTCTCAAGCAATGTACTGTCGTCAGCTTTTGTCTCCCCTTTCTGCCTTCACCACCTCAATTTCTTTGCCCTTTCCTCTGGGCTCCTGACTCTTTCTGCAGCCTTTCTACTGCTACTTCTTGGCTCCTTCTTACTGCTGTCTTGCAGCCACATCCCTGATCTTCAGGTAGGAAAGATCTACACCTAGCCTCTCGAACAAGGGCGAAAAATCTCGGAGAGCCCGTGTGCAAGTTGCACACGTTAAAGATCTCTTGACGGTCTAAAATCTATAAGAGTGGGCTTGGGCCGCCACTGGAGCAAAATTCAAGTTCCCTACCAACTGAAAAATGTTAATGTGACCCTCGCCCTCATATGACCTTATGCAGTTGCGAGTGCGGTAAAACACTTTCCAAAATCTTTAAAAAAAAATTTTTTTTTTCAGTTTTACTCCCAGTTGCTCCTGAAGAAGCATTCAAGGCGAGGCGTCGAGCCGTTTTAGTAACCACGAACAAAATAAGTTATATATACTGACCATAAATTATTACTTAAGACCTTCGAAGGCTTCTTCAGGAGCTACTGTGGTTAAAACTAAAGAGAATGGTTTATATAAGAAAAAGGTAAGGGACCTAACAAAGGTCTTGTAGTTAGTTGCCAGGTAGGCTGGACGTGACTCAGTGTGAGCCAGGTCTTCTTCTTCTTCTTCTTCTTCTTCTTCTTCTTCTTCTTCTTCTTCTTCTTCTTCTTCTTCTTCTTCTTCTTCTTCTTCTTCTTCTTC